TCGGTACGACCTTTGTCATCGGGGCGCCCTTGACCTTGGCCCCGACCTCGTCCATCTCCTTGCGCGCAATCAACTCCTCACTGGCTGCAATCACTTTGTCGCGTCCCGAGCTCGTGAGTCCTGGATGCTCTGTCCACGTGTACTGATTGCCCGGCTTCGTGAAAACCTTAGTTTTGTCTCGCAGGCTGATCATCTGCACCCTCAAGGTCGGATCGCATGCAGCCCATATCGTGGAGGAAGCGTTTCCCACCTTACTGATGGGAAGCATACATACACCTGGCCCACCGTCCGTTCTGTAGTACACGCGATTCCATCTCGCCCAGGGCGCCATCACGCCCGCCTTGGTGACACGGATGCTGCCGTCCTCGAAAGCTGAGTCGTCAAAGTACGCGTCGAACTCGCGCAGGTCGACGGCGGTCACTGCGTTGAAGACCGCTTGGCCCTCTTCTCCTATGTCGCTAGCCTGCCGCCCCAGCAGGCCCGCCAGGAAGTGCCACTGGAGCCGAATGGCTGCCTCGGGCGGCGCTCGCCCGCACACGCGGTGCTGGGCTCGCAAGGGTGAAGAAGCTTGCTGAAACTCTCTCAAACCCTTCGAGCCGAAACTTAAGCGCGAGAGAGAGAGAGATAGAAAGAGAGAGAGAGAGAAAGAGAGAGAGAGAGAGAGAGAGAGAGAGAGAGAGAGAGAGAGAGAGAGAGAGAGAGAGAGAGAGGGAGCAAAGGGGACGGCCCAGGTAGGGGGGTACAAGCTAGATAAAAGTGCGTTTAAGAAAACATGTATTGCCATTCCGCCTGCCGCAGACGATAACTGCGAGGCTTCGCCGCCCGCTGGATAGACCACGCTTGCCCGCTCTTCCTTCTTCTATCGAACTCGGCGCGCGCATCGGTGCCGCGGTCCAACGCCAAATGCGTCTCCTGAGCGATCACTGCGTCCGCGTCCTTCTCTCGGACCTTCCTGGCCGATGGGGCCCCGCTGCGACCTGCCCCCGCTGTTGATCGCGGGCTCGCGGGCCCACTGCGACCTGCCCCCGATGGGGTGCGCGGGCTCGCGGGAGACGCCCCCCGACCCCGCGCCCCCCCCGCTGGCGCGCAAAGAAACCGTCGGCGCGATCTCGTGGGTCCGCAGGGACAGACTTCGCTCCCGCGCCCGCCGTCGGGCGCGCACCTGCCGCGCCATTGGGCGCTTGCGAACCCGGGGGGGGGGGGCGCCCCCGCGCCCCCCAGCAGGCGCGTGGGGGAATCTGCGTCGTCGTCGACACAAGGAGGTCGGCGCTGCCCCCGGCGCCGCCGCGCCAAGCCCGGGTTGCCGACCTCCTCTTTCGCGACCAACTGCGGGGGGGGGGGGGGGGCGCAGGCGACGCCGCGCCAGTCCCGCGCTCATCGCAGAACCCCATCCGCGCTGCCCGGCACGCGGGCGCCACCAACGTCTGGCCCCGCGCGCGAGGCGGCAGAACCACCGCCACCAGCCCCTTCGCCCCGCGATCGCGGGCCCGCGGGAGATGCCCCGACCCCGCCCCCACCATGCGGCGCATCAAGAAACGTCCGGCATGTCCTTGCGAGCCCGCGGGGGCAGTCCCCGACCTGGCGCCCGCCCACTGGCGCGCGCCAACCTCCATCAACGCTTCGTCGTCAGAGACGCCCCCCAAGTCCGACTCGTCGGAAGGCCATATGCGCAGTGGCTCTGTCTCGCACCTGTCTGCGCCAGGTCTCAGCAATCTCTTTTGTAGATAACGATAACCCTCGGGTTTTACCAAACAACTCTCTTCCCAGCCCAACATGGGCGCCCAATCCCATTGAAAAGCCGAAGCAGGGCGCGCGCGCAAGCTCAACCAGCGCCCCTGGAGATTGGACGCTTCGTCGCGGAACTTGCGGGTCCACGCTGAGGCGTCGGCCGTCGTCTCATTAGCCAGGCGTTGCCTCTCTGTCCCTAATCAGTAACAGAGTGAAGCCCCGTGTCAGCCAGCTGGGCTACCCATCCAGTCTGCTTCCTGCACTTGATAATCCCCATCGCATCAAAGATGCAACTCGGCAGAAAGTAAACGACCTCTTGCGCGGGGAACTCCGCCGAAGCTGGCCCTGGGTCTTGCGATCTAACGCCAAGCAAAACTTGGCCGACATTGAGCCCAATAGAGGATGGCACCGCGCCCCCACCGGGGTCTCGCAGGCAAAAAAGAATGAGCTGTACCTTGGCTTCCACGGTCTTGTCGTGGATTTCCTTGAACTCGCGTTTGAACTTCTCAGCGGGCGCTTCATCTTCCTTCCAAGCCGCAGCTGCCGTAGTTGCAGCCCCAGAGAAACTGCCACCTCGAGGTCCTGGTGGGGGTGAAGACAGAATAGCACCTGCGCTGTCACCTGGAGCGCCGGCACCTGGGCCGTCGCCTTCGTTCGGCACGGGATGCTTCTTACGCTTCTCAGCCTGCTGCCATTCGCTCAGAGCTTCCCTCTCAGCCCGCTGTTGAGCTGCCAGCCCGTTGACCATGCCACTGAACTGCGAAGCAACAGCCGTGTGGAACTGAATCTCAAACTCATTATTGCGCCTCTCGGGCCCCTCCTCGTCGGCCGCCTCCAGTTCCACATCCTCGAACAGACCACCGAAAGACAAGGTGAGCCTCGCCTGCTTGTCCAGTAACTCGCGGACGTCAAACTTGCCAGCCTCAAAAATTGACCCCCGGCTGGGCGCCAGTTCCTTTGCAACCGTTTCCTGCTGCACGATTGCCTCCGCCAAGTCATCCGCAGCTGAGCGATGCTTATCCATGGCTGCCTCCAGCCCCATCTTGAGGCGTGCCACAATCTCCAATTGCAGTTCCAGGGCCTTGTGTGCTTGCGCGGCGTTCTGTTCTAGCATGCGCAATATGAGCTGCAGCCAGCTTTGGTACAGCTGCTGGAGTGAGTGGAGCCAAGGCTGCCGCCAACGCCTTAGCATGCTCAGCTCCAGGACTTCCTTTTGGCCGTGAGCGCCGACAACAATTCCAATCCATCACATGTCGCACACACGCTGCAGTATCAACTTGAACTCTCACCGTACGGTTTCCACTTGGCGTTGGCCCCATCATAGCTTGGCCTGCTTTTGATGGCGCACCAACAAAACTGACACGTCCAATCGCAGTGCTTCATCAGGACTTTGCAGGACAACTTCCCGCAATACTTACACCAGATCGCAGGACCACCTGGCTGCGGCTGCACGGGTGGGGGAACGAATTGTGGCTGAACTCGAGCGGGTGGGCGAACTGCTGGCCACGTGGGAACATCCCGCCTGCCTCCGTCCAAGGACGGCCGCTGACTTTCATCATCGTGCAACTGCTTCGACTAACGCCACGCCGCAGTACTTCACCACTGCGGCCACATCGCGCCGACGATGTGGCGTCCACCTTTCCACATGGGCAGTGCTTCCCCAAAGGCGGAAACCACCGAGCCACTGTGAGGCAACCTGTGATGAAAAGGAGTGTTAAAAATAGGAAAAGTTTGTCGCGGACTAGCGGTATCTTCGTCGTTCCCGAAAAAGCGACCATCTTGAGCCTAAAAGGCTACGGAAGGGGAAAAAGAGAAGGAGACGAAAGAGGAGGGTACTTCAGCGATGGCGTGCTACCAGTGGCCGCATGGTCTGTGGTGTTTCTGCAGTGTACTGTGACACCGTATAGTTACAGCACCATGGGACCGACAACATGCATTCCCAAACATTGCTCGCGAATTTGCCGCTGCATGCAGATCTGTCGTCAGCAAACGGCATCGTCCAAAAGCCTGCCTACGCGCATCGCCGGCGCAGTCCCCCACGTACCTCAAGACGAAAGATCTACCCATGTGATATCGCGAGGGTTGCCTACGGAGTTCTTGCCTGACCGTCTGAGCCACACGAGCGCGGTTTGAGGCACAACGCGCCTACTGAAGCTTAGGCCACCCAGCTAACTTGGAACCACTGCTTCTAGCCATGTCTGAGACTGAATTCACTGCTGTAGCAAACGTGAGCTTGGTGCACAAATGGGCTTTGTAGTTTTCGTTATTTCCAGCCCTTGTTTGGGGAGGCTTTTCTGCATTCAGAATAGCAGTGGGTTGAGTTTGCAGTGAGGTGTCTTAGCAATGATCCAGCAGATGAGATTGTTCACGAATCCGTAGTTCCATATTCTGGTTCAGGGCTCCACTGAGCGGCCGCTGGCATCCCCCAGGACGCGCTCAACAGGCCTTGTGAAACAATTACTTTGTCAATTATGTTCTGAGCAGTTTCCTTGAGTAGGGAGGAGGAGGTGGAGGAGGAGGAGGAGGAGGAGGAGACGGAGGATCAGAATGGAGAGGGCGGATGTGGAAAAGTGGACTGGAGATGGCGAAACGGGGGACCCCCGCCAAATCGAAGGGAGGGTATCCAGGTTTGGTCAGGGGCTTCGTCGAGGGGGAGGAGGTCGGAGGCAGGGAGGTCAGGACCAGAGGAAACCGAGTCAAGTCTAGGAGGAGGAAGAGATGGCGGATGAGGAGGGTATCCAGGTTCGGTCGCATGTCAAACTCTGGAACAGAACGCGCAGGGGAAAAGGAGGCGAGGGACGTGCGTAAAGACCTGCGAACACCGGATCGAACCACACAGGATGGGAACAGGCCTTGGTCAGGGGCCCTCCTCGAGGCAGACACCCGTAACCAAGCTTGGATAATCCGGCCCTTTTTGATTTGATCACGGCCTGCGATCCCTTCAGAAGAAAGCGGAAGAGAGAGAGAGAAAGAGAGAGAGAGAGAGAAAGGATGAGAGAGGAAGAGAGAGAGAGAAAGAGAGAGAGAGGATGACAGAGAAAGAGAGAGAGAGAGAGAGAAAGAGAGAGAGAAAGGATGACAGAGAAAGAGAGAGAGAGAGGGGAGCGGAGGAGAAAGAGGAGCGCGGATGATAGGACGAGAAGGGAGAGGGAGGAGGGGGAGGATGAGACGGGGGCAGACGAAGGAGGAGGAGGACGATGGCGACGGCGACGAGGGGCTACAATGCGCCACAGAAGGGCAAAGCGGGTGTGACCACCGTTCTGCCTCCCGAGGGTCAGGGAGGGGACCTCGAGTCGGGCCACCCTTGCCAGGAGAAAAGGCGCTCCAATGCGGCGCGCTGCGTGTCCTCAGGTCCGCCCGTCCGCGGCTGCAGGTTCCTTAAAATTTGCCTCAGCGCGGGAGGTCTTACTGGGGTCCGAGTAGATGGGGTCCGAGTAAATGGGGTCGGAGGATCGCGCCGCATCGCCGATGCATCGGCGATGCATCGACGATGCATCGACGATGCATCGACGATGCATCGACGATGCATCGGCGACGTCGGCGATGCATCGGCGAGGCTGACGTGGGGTAACACGGGCTCCTCATCGAGCCGCATCGCCGATGTATCGTCGATGTGGTGTCATCCTCCAACCCCATCTGGTCGGACCCCATCTGGGAGGCCTAGACGTACTTAATACTTAAAGCGCACACGAATCGTGCAGTCGTGCGGCGGAGGAGACGGAGGGGACGCCAACCACGCGCTAGAACGCCGATCCTGGCCATATGCCGGCCCTGGTCCCACCATCCCCGGCGAACTTCTGGGCCCACGATTCTACTCTGTGTGGGACACTAATCGAGGGGTGGGCGACTAACCTTCCGACGGAGCTTGCCAATCCCCCCCACTCCTCCTCCTCCTCCTCCTCCTCCTCCTCCTCCTCCTCCTCCTCCTCCTCCTCCTCCTCCTCCTCCCTCCTCCTCCTCTCCTCTCTCTCCTCTCCTCCCTCCTCTCCTCCTCCTCCTCCTCTCTCCTCCTCCTCCTCCTCTCCTCCTCCTCCTCTTCCCTTCCTCCACCTCCCCTCCTCCTCCTCCTCCTCCTCCTCCTCCTCCTCCTCCTCCTCCTCCTCCACCCGTTCCGACAGCACGTGCCGAACCCCCCCAGCGGATCCAAAAGGGGGGCGATGATTGCCCCATCCAGAAAAGCCTGGCCAGAATCGGTGTCGGACCTCCGACGGCTCGATCCTTTCGAGCCGCCCGCAACTGGATCTCCCGACCCCTTCTCTGGGGCCAATTTTTCATCGAGAGCCATCCTTTTTCTGACAGTCTCAAATCTGGAAGACGGGTTCCAAACGCCAAACGCCGACCGAAAACCTCGGGCGCGACCTTCTCGAGCCGCCAGAAGTCTGCGTCCCACGAGATAAATCATGATAAATCCATGGGGCTCTCTGGATGTCCCTGGAGCCCCCAGCACGCAGAAGCCGCTGCAAGTTCCAGGAAAGTCTTGGGGGTCCCAACGCATCAAACACTGTTTAAAGCGGTGCTTCTCGATCCTCGAACGTCAAATCAAGGCGGGCTGACTCGTGGGCCTCTTGGGCCGCCTTGAGGCGATCCTCGGGGCCTCTTGGACCACCTTGGGCAGTCGGAAGCCTGACAAACTGGCAAAGCGATAACACCAGACAGCTCGCCCCTTGTCCCCCGCAAGCCCCACCCCAAGGGGCGGACATATATACGGACGCAGCACCGCGCTGCATGCGTAGCCTTCGGCCGATCCAGGCAGGGCAAGACCCAACACTGCATCGCGTGGCGCGTGGATGCCCGCACCGACACGACTCCTCTCAATCCCTACCTCCGACCCCCCCCCTTTCGCCAGCTCCTCTTCGTCCTCGTCCTCCGTCCTCCCTCTCACCCATCCCCCCCCTGTCGTCCCGTGCGTGGCACATGGTGCTGCTTGGTTACGTCTGGGAAATGTCCTTACCGCTAGGCCTGAAAACTGCCAGCGACATATCCCCACACCCCTCGCTTAAAACTGTCAGCGAAATATTCTCACACCTCTCGCTTGAAACTGCCAGCGAAATATCCTCACCACCCCTCGCTAAAAACTGCGAGCTAAGTATCCTCACACCCCTCGCTGAAAACTGCCAGCGAAGTATCCTCAACCGCCTAGCCTAAAACTGCCAGCGAAATATCCTCAAACCCCTGACGTGCGAAATATCCTCAGACCCATCCCTTAAAACTGCCAGCGACATATCCTCACCGCCCTGTCTTAAAACTGCCAGCGAAATACCCTCACACCCCTCAATGAAATATCCTCACCCCCATGGCCTTAAGCTACCAGCGAAATATCCTCACACCCCTTGCTTGAAACTGCCAGCGAAATATCCTCACACTCCATCGCTTGAAACAGCCAGCGAAATATCCTCACCGCCCCTGGCCCTAAACTGCCAGCGAAATATCCTCACACCCCTCGCTTAAAACCGCCAGCGAAATATCCTCACACCTCTGACTTAAAACTGCAAGCGAAATATCCTCACCGCCCCTGGCCTAAAACTGCCAACGAAATGTCCTCACCCCCTGACTTAAAACTGCCAGCGAAATATCCTCAACACCCTGACTTAAAACTGCAAGCGAAATATCCTCACACCCCTCGCTTGAAACTACAAGCGAGATATCCTCACACTCCTCGCCTAAAACTGCAAGCGAAACGTCCTCACCCCTGGCCTAGAACTGCCATCGGAATATCCTCACACCCCTCGCTTAAAACTGCCATCGGAATATCCTCACACCCCTGGCCTAAAACTGCCAGCGAAATATCCTCACAGCCCTTGGCCTAAAACTGCCAACTAAACATCCTCACACACTAAACTTAAAACTACCAGCGAAACGTCCTCAACCCCCAGACCTAAAACTGTCAGCGACATATTACCATTGGCCCGTGCCGAAACTGTGTGCCAGCTAAATATCCTCACTCCCTGGCCTAAAACTGCCAGCGAGATATCCTCCAGCCCCTGATCCAAAACTGCCAGCGAACGATCCTCACACCCTAAACTTACAACTTCCAGCGAAATATACTCACCCCCTGGTCTACAGCTGCCAGCGAGATATCCTGACACCCCTCGCTTGAAATTGCCAGCGAAATATCCTCACCGTCCCTGGCCTAAAACTGCCAGCGAAATATCCTCACACCCCTCGCCTAGAACTGCCAGCGAAATACCCCATCCCCGGAAATAACACTGCCATCTAACGGATTTGGTGATTCAGTTCAGTTCTGCGGGACAGTTCTGTCTTCTTCCCGAAAATCAAATTACGGGCTGCACCCGTCAAATAATTTGAGCATGCAGGGCCAAACCATGATATTTGCCCGCTGGCGCCCTCTTGGAGCCCTCCTGAGGTCCTCTTGCGCCCCTCTTGGGAATCTCTTCGGCTATCCTGGGGCGACCTTAGGGTCTTGGTGCGCTGTTGGGCCGTCTCCTGACCATCTTGATCCGTCCGGGGGCCTCTCGGGACCCTCTTGGGATGTCTAGGGGGCCCTCCTGGAGCGTTGGTGCTCTTGGGGCCGCCCAGAGCAACCAGGAGAGGCTCCGGGGAGGGCCCGGGGGCGGCAGGCGCCACGTGGTCTACACGCCGGGTGCCCCAAGTGCGCTGTGGCCCTGGGCCCCTCGGGGCGGATCGGTTTCTGGTGTATGGCACGCTTGGTATGATCTGACATTTGCTTAATCGTTATGATTACATTTTTTGTGAGTATCTCTCTCTCTGTCTCTCTATGGTTATTTTTCTCTCTCTCTATATGCATCTATATATATATATATACATGTATATACATGTATAAACATATGCACAAATGCACCAACAACGCACACAATCATATATATATATATGTATATATATATGTATATCTATATATATGTATACGTATGTATGCATATATACATATATGTATATATGTATGTGTGTACGTGTATCTATAACCCGTAACAGGAGAAGACCCACTGGTCCGATGCGAACTAGAACTTTGCGCGAGAGAAGTCAACCCGGGCCTGGGCAGATTTCCCAATTGTGTACTTGGCGCCCGCGAGCTTTGTCTGGGAAGGAACCTGCGGAGGAAGATGTCATCTGGTGCCGCGCCCATGCTTCCTTCGAGAGCAGAGCGCGCGGCATAGGGCGGAGCCGCATGATGAAGCCGAGGGCGGCCACGCGTTGTGCATCGGCGCGCTCAGGCGAACTGGCGCATGGCCGTCAGCAGAGCTCGCGAACTCGGTGGGCCCACGTAGCAGCAGCCTTCTTCCAGACCGACGGAAACGTTAACGTCAAGGCCAATCGCGAAACCTAAGCACTCTGCCTGACCAGCAACCGTCATAGAACGCCTGCTGGGAATATTGAAAGGAAACACTGTCGCGCATCTTCTTCCATGGCGGGCGAGAAACTGAAACACTTGGATAAATGCCCGCGCGCGTTTCCAGCTTGAGAAGCAGGCTCGCGAGAGCCTTGGCAGCGCGCGACACCCCCCAAAACCGCGCAAATCTTGAAAGGCCGCATCCGCATCTTCACTACACGCGCGCGCAGTGACGCCAAGCGCAGGAAAAGGCGCCATTTGTCCAGAGTGGATTCCACGCGCGATGCGAAGGGGTTCGCTGCGAGCGACCACGATGCCAGTGAGCGGACAAACCTGGGGCGTCGCAGAGAGAAGGCGAAGGAAGTGCTGGACATTGGCCACGACGAGAACGAACGCAGTCGGCATGGAACAAAAGCCGGGGGCAATCTACAGAAAGCTCCCGCCAAAACCAAAAGCCAGCAGAGTCCCCACCAGCCATGAACTCGCCAAGCTCGGCAAAGCGCCGCCAAAATCAGACCAGAGGGGGCCGCTGGCGGCGCGAGCTGTTCGCGCTGCCCCCGAACGCCCGCGGCGCAAGCATGGGCGCCAACGCCTGTTGTTTTTGCCGGCCGACAAAAAACGCGTCGCGGCGCATGGGGGTCGCGAGCAACCGCGCGCTTGATTTGTCTTCTAGTCGCCCGCATCAATTTGCAATCTGATCTTGCCAGAGGCAAGGGGCCAGTCGATCCCGCCTCTCGGCGCGCTCCATGAATCAGATCAGCCAGCGCAGCGCGCGTGGGAATGAACTCGAGCGGGCGATTCCAGGAACCAGGCGGCGGCGGCATAGCTCGCGCCGCATCGAGATCGACAAGAGCAAGATCCGCCAACGCACGAAGACAGCGCTTCCAAGCCTCATGGAGAGGGCCGATCGGCCCAGGCGCAGATGCTCGAACAGCAAGCGAACAATGAAGACAATGACGGCCATCAGGAAGAGAGGCGCTTCGGCGCGCCCTGGCGTCGGGCCCCGCGCGCTCGCGGATCGCCCCGTGCCGGAGGGGCGCCAGAGGCTGGGGCCCTGTGCATCTTGAACAGCGCGTAGCTATCTCTCCTGCGAACTCGCGACCCTGCCTCGGGCCACTCAATCGGGCAAGCCAAGACCTCGCAGTTTGAAGGCGCGCCTGCGCGGGGGCCCAGAGAGCCGCGGGGCGGCGGAGCGCGCGCTCCGCGCTTCTGATGGGCTCGATAGAGCTGCCGGGAGGATGCGGAAAGCCGCGGCGCGCCATCGCGCCGGCGCTAGCGACGGCCTGCAAATCGGAGCTGTTCCTGGGCAAGGTCGGCGGCGAACTCTCCGCGGGATTCGAAAGGCTGGCCCGCGCGCCCGAGGTAGAACGGCGCCTGCGCGCCAGCGCACTCGCGGGCGCCATCCGCGCCGCGCCGCCAGACTGCGCGCGCCGCAGGCCAGAGAAGAAGAAGAAACCATTAATAATATCAATTATACTGATATTACGAAAAACAATAATAGGACTCCCATCATGATAATGGAATGAGCCCTTGGTCAGCTTGCCACGAACGTGCCGCGCCGCCTCCGTCGCGGGCCTATTGCATTCCCGACGCCGAGCATCTGGCGCGGTCGACTTCTCACATACGAGAAAGCAAACATTGAGAACGCACTTGCGTCCCTGTTCTGCGAGGTCGCAGGAAGGGATAGACCGATTTTCGGCCCGAGCAGGTTGCCGCGCTTTGATCGTGATAGCGAGCAGCGCATGGTCGCTCAATTCAGATTGGCGCAGCTGCTCCAAGGAAGTCAGCCGTCGTTGACGCGGCGCGCCGCATCACCGCCAGTCGGCTGGGGGGCGATAGCACATCGCGACCAAGGTGAGCAAAGATGGGATGAGCCCTATCAGCAGTAAAATGCTGCAGGTCGCTCACAATCCAGCTCCAAGTGGCGCTTGGAAATTCGCTCCATCGTCGCTCAAGAGACCGCGGGACATTCTCGGCGTCAAGGCCCACGCGGCGATCAATCTCCAGAGCGCGAAGTTGAAACGGGAGAACAGGCCGAGATTGCGAGAGCTGCAGATGACGACGCATGGCGCGGGGCACCGAGGAGAAACTCACATGTCAGCTGTGCGAAGACGCTGCGCCCTACCCAGGGCCAGCCCCGCACGCGCGCGCCGCGCCGAGTCCGACGCCGCGGAAAAGACACCGAGAAGAATAATGGCACTGTCGCCCGCGTCTCGGCGGAGAAGATCTGGAAAATAATATGGATGCAACGCAAGATGAAGTATAGCCCGACGTCGGTCGCGTAGATTTGCTGAAGAGCCATGGCCACGCCGCGCCGAAGAAACTTGGAGACGCATGCCATGTTCTGTTCTGTGACTCTGACACTGTGACAGAGAAGCGCCTTCGCATTCCATGTGCCATGAGAGACGGGAGAGGACGCCACTGCTGAACCATACCAGGAATAAAGTCGCGAGTAAAATCGCCCACTGCAGCTTTTCTGCACCCCCGAGGAGTTCGCCGAAAGCCAGCTTGATCCTACCCGCATCCACGCCGACATCTTGAACCACATGATAGTTCCCCTCCAAGACAGGACCGAAGGGGACGAGCAGTTGCAATTGGCGCCCTGGTAACGGCCCGCTCTCCTCCCCCCTGGGCGTGGCCGAATCTCCGACAATTTCACACAAATCTTGCGCCTGATTGTCTGCAGGGAGTTGTCAACCCCAGTGACCAGACCAGTGCGGGGGCGCAGCACCAAATCGCTTCCCAAGGTTCAGCAGGATCTTCAGGCGACTGTAAGCAATGGCGGCGCGCCAGCATACAAATCCCTCGGCACCATGCGTACGCGCGTGGAACCGCCGCCCACGAGACACGCCCTCCACAGCCCACCCCTCATCCGCAAACCCTGCAGCACAACCAGGAGCGAGCAGCACGAGTAAAATCACCACTGGCTGCCGCGTCCTTGCAAATCGCCACGCGAATCGCTTTGTCAGCCAGCCTGGCCGGCTCGACCACATCGGAAACGTTGTGAGCGGGAGCAGTGGCCTCACCGATATGAGCGATTTGAGCCAGACCCTCCGTCGTAGCAGCCATCTTGCGCCGCTCCTCCTGGAGAGCGTGGGTAGAAGGGCCAGATTACGGAGGTGCCTGTCGATCTGTTCATTATTCGGCTCCTGCCGCACTGCAACGGCGTTGATATCATTAGCGGTACTCCCCAAAGTGCTGACAGACATCGGCCTAGGGGATGTGGCCAAGGCGGCCGTAATTTGAGCGCGCATGGTGCCCATGATCGTGTCCAGCTCAGAGCGGAAGTCGGGAGCGTCAGGTGACGGGGAATATGGCTATGCTGCGGGTGTAGTTCCAGGCACAACCATGTCCGCTGCACTGCTGCCAGCCGCACCAGCCTTGGGCGCCCACGGGAGGATCACGAGAGGAGAAGATGTTGCATGCTTGGAGTCACGACCGCTGCCTTCACAGTCTGCCACGCCAAGAAGAGCGATCACCGCGAGAGGGAGGACCATCTGACATGCCGCCCGCAGGCGAGAGACAGAGCGTCTCGTGGTGGAGAAATGGATGCCCAGCCAGACCCAGCAACCGAAATTGTACAGGTAGTGATGTTGGAGGCGTCTCGGCCTTGGCGCCTTCTGGAGACACGTGTGCGAGGTCAGCCCCCCGAAGGCACTCCGATGCAGCCTTGATCGGTGGCTCACTTGAACCCGAAATGGCTACGGATATGATGTGGTATCTCTCTCGATATGCATACCTATCTATATGTATAGATATGGGAGAGAGAGAGAGAGAGAGAGAGAGAGAGATGGGGGGCGAAGGGTGCATGTTGGGATAGCGGCCAACATGCCTTGAAAACTCCGCAGGTGCACTAGTGTTTGGCTGCGCCGTGAGCAATGGGTCACACATCGCAACTGCCATATTCATCGAGCCTGTCTCCATGAACTGGCCAAAAAAACTTCAGGGGAATTCGGGAATTCGAGATCCAGACAAAGTCTGAAAAGAGGAGGAGGCATAGGGATGAGGCAAGAGGAAAGCAACAACGTAAGGCAGGAGCTGATTGCGCAACAAACTGACGAGCAGGAGGGAAAACACGAGTAGGGGGAATGGCTGGGGAGTGCCAGGAAGCTGGAAGCACATGGCCGGACTCACGCGTGGAACATCCAGAGGCCACTTGCTGGGTATGCGTGTGGAGGCCCACCGTGCTTGGCCGCGCAAGGGCCGAGCGCTGGAGAGACGTGCGGCCACACGTGTACCCAGCTCTCGCCCAGACTGGCCACGTCACGTGTATCCGGCTTCCTGGTAGGGAGAGGGGTTCAGGCGAGGAGAGCAGGAAGGGAGGGGACGGGGAGTAATGCACGAGGGGGTTCGCCCTGGACCCCCCTGGCGAGAACCTTCCAGAGCCCCCCAGAAGCCAGAAAGCTCACGAGCGCGCCCTCCCCCTGGAGGGGCAGGGAGGAGGCTCCGCTGCGGCGGCGAAGACAACCGAGGGACGCCGACGATCCAGGTCTCCTACAAGTGCGCTTCGCGCCCCACGGTGCGCGACGCGCAGGAACTCCTCGCGCCCTCGCGCCGCGGCCCAGGAGGAGGGCAGCTCCGAGGCCCCAAGGGCCGCGACGCGAGAAGCCCCCAGGGTCATCTGCGTGCCCCCAGGGATGGCCTGGGTCGCGGCAGGCTCACGCGCTGCCGACTTCGGCGCTGGCCTCTGACACCGCGGGGATCGGTCCGCCTTGAACGATCGGCCGCTTCCGATACGTCCGATCCTTCGACCTCCGCCGATTCTGGGTCGCCGGCGGCATTCAACGCGGAACGCTGGCGGCGGGGTCGCCGCCGGTCGACACGACGCGAACCTGGCGTATCCACCCGCACCAGCCCTGGTTGGGCCGATGCCGCCAGGCTCCAGGATTGGCCCAATTACGAGGAGGAGAAGAAGGAGGAGGAGCTAGGAGGAGGAGCAGGAGGAGGAGCTAGGAGGAGGAGGAGGAGGAGGAGGAGCTAGGAGGAGGAGGAGGAGCTAGGAGGAGGAGAAGGAGGAGGAGCAGGATCGTGTTTTGCTTCCTGATTAGCCTAACCTCGCGCGTCGCACCATGCAAACTTGCCTTCGCGCCTTCGCGCCGCCCACGAGGAGAAGAGAGCGCACCTCTGGCCCGGGCTGCGATGCGTGAAGATGGGCAATCTTCGAGCCCCAGCTCGTGACCCAGGCTTCCCCGCACGATGCGCAGCGCGAACGCCGTCCCTCGTGACAGGGCTGTCCCGCGAGCGCGGCCGAAACATCGCCGACCGGCTTCGACCGCACGCTCTGGGGGAGAGTACGACAGCAAGAGAAAGAGATGGACAGAAACGTCGACACGAGCTCCCCTCAGAAGCGTGCCGGCGCTGCGAGGTGGAGAAGGAGGGGATTCTGGCCATGATGAGTTCGGCTACCCTAGAGCCGCCGTGGAGCGCTCTCGGGGGCCACCTCGGCCGAGCCGTCCTGGGTTGTCCAGGAGGGGGAGGAGGAGGAGGAGGAGGAGGAGGAGGAGGAGGAGGAGGAGGAGGAGGAGGAGGAGGAGGAGCAGGAGTGACCCTGGGCAAGTAAGAATGACCTTCGGTGCGCGGCTTCTCGGGGGACTCGGCGGGGCAAAACACGAGCTGGCCAGACGCTTCTGCCGCACCGCGCTCGGCGATCGGGAGGCCCCAGTGGGCCCGCACCAAAGCCAACGGCGAGCGAGGGGGGAAACTGAGAAGGAGAAGGCCTTCTCAGAAGGCAGCGAGACTTCTCAGAAACCCTCGCGCCTTCTTGGAATGTGTTTGTCTTCCGTGAAGGCTTAGAACACTTCTCAGAAGGCCGGGTGACTTCCGAACCTTCTGAGAAAGCCTTCTCCCTCTCACTTCCCCCCCTCGCTCGCCGCCGACAAAGGTCACTCCGGCGAATGGTCGCTCGTATGGGCAGCCGAGGAGTGCGGGTGGGTACGGCAAGTTCCTGCCACGACTTGCAAGCCACGACGGTTGAGGGCCCTGGCCTCACTCCCCGGAGTGGCCTCCGCAGGCGGGGTCCCCGGAGGATCTCGGCCCTGGAACGCCCGCGCCTGCGCTGCCGCTACGCCAGGACGGCACAGCGCTGCGATGACCTCAAGGAGTCTTTTGACCCCCCCGCCCAATACAGTCGACCCGTGTCGTAAGGGTGGGCGGTGAGGATGCAAAGGGCCTTGGAAGGCCATGTGAACGTGTGTCGAACGATACTGGCCAGCGAAAGTCGCCAAGGATGGGCCGAAGAGGCAGGGATGCAAGGGTACCCTTGGGAAGGTTGCCCATCCTTACTATGCGGGTTGACTGTAGCTTGAAACCAAGGGCCGACCATGACGATGTTTAAAACGAAGCGGCGCTCACAACGAACAGCGAAACGAGGCCCAACGTTTAAAACAAAAATTGAAAAAGAAGCCGGTGCCAAACGAAAACGAATGACGCAACGAGCGACAACGAAACGAAACAACTGTGAAAAACAGCACGAAAAACAAAATAAGGGCCCACAACAAGCTGAACAGTCTTGTGGTCGGTCATTGCGGGAAACTGTTTATTTTTTTTGCGCGGGCTTATTGACGAACTGGGACCAGTTCAAAAAAACTGGGGAAATGATGATTCCCCCACGGCGGCCACAGCTCAGGTATCTGCCGTCATCGTCGTCGCCGCCGCCGTCATCGTCATCGTACTCGCAGACGGCCGCGTAAGGGCTCCTTCCAATG